TTATTATCCCAATTACGAGACTGAAATAACAGAAGTATTGCAGCTCTAGAAATTTCATTCTGTTTAGAATGAAACACACTGAAGAAGCAAGCGAATTAGAACATATAAAATCAAATTACTTTACCATCTTGCATGTTCCGTGATGAGGATTGAATTAGAGTGGTAGATGATATTACGTCAAAGAATGTGTTCCAGTTGCTGAAAATGTGCTTGTCTCTTTGTTACAAATAGCCCTACCTTTTCCTTGTGAGTTATTCCGAAGGCTCAATATGGGTTGGACCCAATGTTACTCTGCAGAATGCTGCTCCTAAGCTCTTAAGTTAGAGCTCCTGGTTAGAGGCAGCATGGTGATTATTTTAACAAAAAGTCATAAATAAAAGCTTTCATGAAGTGAGAAAGTCTATATTTAGTAAGGACAGAATATTCTTCCTCATATTCCATGCTGATTAGCAATTTTGGCTTGCCATCAGTATTATCAGCTCCTGTTTTTAAATACTGCCAGCTTGTGATGCTGCTTCTGTGAAAGCCTGAATTCTGAAGTTTTGTGATTACGTGAGCATATTGGCCTTCCATTAGCAAAGGAAATATTTTTAGTTTCAGACTTAAAAGCATGAATATGGATCCTTATAACTCTCAAATAAGGAGAGAATACCTTTGGTACTTGCGCTTGTTTTGTTTTTGACTCACTATTTTGGGTTATGTTGGTTTAGCCTTTTTTCCAATTAGTGTGCATCAAAACTTTCTGAAGTGCAAACTTGCAGAGTAAGACTTGCAGTCTTACTATCTCTGGGGACCATACCAATACCAATAGGGTATTCAGTATTATAATTGAACAAGCAATTTGCTCATTTCACACTGAAGCTCCTCAGGATACAGAAATTTTCTTTTGGCTGTCTGGTCATCTGGTAAAGTGACTGTACTGATACCTGGCATGAGGATGTAAGTATCTTCCTGCTAGCTGAGAAAGAGGCATGAACCAGGAAGGTTAGCTGACTAGTAGTCTTATATTTAGACCCAGTCTCACCCTGTGGCTTTGCATATGAGGACAAGCAGTGGGAAGACCACGTGTCTTTGTGCAGTACTTTGCTTTTTATGCTTTTAGTGGAGCAATGGAAGAACTACTTATTCATAGGACTTTATTTACTTTTAGCATGGGAGAGTTTGAGGAAGAAAGGTGGTATCCACGAGTCACCAGGAATTTTTAATATGGGGGAGGCTAGTTTGCAAATCTTTCTTGGTTTCTGTTTTATTTTCTTTTTTTCATTTTTTTTTTCTTTTTTCCCCCTGGCTGCAACTTGGAGACTTTTGATTGAAGAAGCATCTGTTTTCCACATTCTTACTAGCAACTACTGTCTAGTCTTCCATTATTTGATTTCATATGTAACACAGATGCAAGACTTTGAAGCAATTAAGAATGAAGTGATCTTTCAGCACCCTGTCAATAACGAGTCTCATAAATGAAAATTGATAGTGATATCCTGGCAGTGAAGGAGAGGAGAAAGGAGAGGCTACAAGGGAATTTCATGTTTGTTTGGTTGTATTAGTTGCATGTGCTTTGGATTGTCCATTGCATAGACAAATTTTAAGAGTTCATATTGAAACAGAGATAAAAAAAAAAAGTCACTCTGTTCCTATTTCTGTTGATGAAGGCTGCACCAAAAGTAATGCCTCCTGTATGATGGTGTAGGCCCACAACGTCAGAGGCAGATGTTGGTGGTGCAGCAGTAGAGGTTGAACCTTCCCACCAACATCCCGTTCCGCGTCGTTGCCGTGGGACAGATGGCAGCAGAGGGGCAGTCTGGCAAAGTGGTGTCTGACATGGAAGTGCATACAGAGCAAAGGTGTATCACTGAAGTCCTCCATGTGGAAAAAATGGCACCCACTGACATGCACTGATGCTTGCTGAACATTTGTGGACACCAGACGGTGGATGTGAGTACAGGGAGGCAGTTCAGCAGTGGCAACAGTGATGTGAAAGACAATTCTGACTGGCCATGCAGATTTTTACGAGCATGGCATGTGGGCCTCTGCTCATCACGGTCAAAAACGCATAGCTGACAGAGGTGGCTGTGTTGAAAAACAGTGTTTTGTAGCTGAGAATTGAGCTCTCTCAAGTAGTGTTATTGTGCTCTTCTTTTCTGTTACAGCAACTTACACATCTTACAAACTCTCAGGGCAAGATAAAAACTTTCCCCCACCTCCGTTCACACCAATTCAAATTGCTACATCATCCTCTAAAGCAGCTCTTAAAGGCTCATCACAGATCAGGCTGATACATGCAATTGTTTAGTGTAAGATCATTATCTAATGCAGAGGATGCCACTAAAGAACTGTATTGTGAAAGTCTGCTCATCAGCTTAAGATCTGCACTACCCATGAAAACTGAAGCACTGCCACTATTTCCCCATAGGGTCTCTAAGCAAACACAGCAAGCGTGGTTACAAGCCATACTTTTCACAAGATGCATCATGACATAATGCCATAAATTAAGCATAGTCTACAGAACATAGGCCAGCCAACACAAGACTGTGTATGCACTGTAATTCTTCCGGACACAGAGCAGCAAGAATGAAGTAGAAGATGGTTGCAGACACACTACAGGATTACATAGTCACAAAACCATAGCTGCTGTATACTGATGCAGCTGCATTCACATAGGATGTTTTAAAGGAGTTCACCTTTAAATGAGCGAAGCTGGTTTTTCTTCTGAAAGCTGGACTTGGCTCATCTATGCCTATTAAAATAAGAACACAAAAAATACCACTCCTAACACTGTGATTAGATCGATAAAAAAAATAAAACGAGCACTTCTATCAGCTACTATAGACTGCTCCATTACAATGCAAAGCCAAACCAGGCACAGCAGAAGATGCTCACCTAATACCAGTACTTCATCCATTCAGTGCTTCTTGGAAGCAGTTCCTTAAAGAACAAATCCTCCACTAGAGCGGCCTCATCCTGAGACACCAGGAGCATCCTACATTAGTAAGGGAAGTGACAGCTGCGGGCAAACTCCATGCTGAGAGGGCGCAACCCCAAAGCCCATGCTGCAGCAACTCTGACCTCAGCTGTCCCAGCCTTCTTCTGCTGAGCTCCCTGTCTGGCCAACCAAACTGTCTTCCTGCACATAGAAAGAGCAGCTCTCTGCTCCGCTGGGTGCTCCTCAGCATAAGCAGAGAGAGCCTCTAAGGCTTCAACATGTTAGTTCTTCCCATTGCATGCACAACAGACGTTCTGTACAGCAGCTGAAGCCCACACAGGTCAAAGACACCAACATGAATGCCTAAAGCTCGATAACTCAAAACTTTAACACACTTTTACTTTCATGAAAGTAACCAGGATATGTAGGTTCCACACCTAAAGGTTAGTGTCCTTGCTGCAACTGCAGGTCTTGCATGAAAAGTGGGCCCATCAGAGCAACAGGTATTCTGTAGGAGCCCTATGGGCCCCCAGGGTCGCAAAGAACTGTGTTCCTCACTCACTCCACCATATCCTTCTGTCAGAGTAGAATCTCCTAAGTGCCCGCACCTTCTGCATATCACAAACTTTCCATTTACTACCATTAACAGAGAAAGGAAGGAGGACCAATCTCCTACAGTTGGTGAAAATGAGAACTGGAAAGAAAAGACCTCTGCACAACTGCATGAGAAATACTGCTAAACAGGTTGTTTTCTTTCCAAGTAGTACACATCACAAGAATGAAAGCCTTCCAGATTTCTTTTCTGTTCTGATTTACAACTGCGTGGATGGCAGCAAGCATGGAGTTGCAGCAAGCATGCCAAAGATGTAAGGGAGTCCTCCTGCTCCAGAAGAAGTGATGTTAACCCTGGCCACAGTTGGTGGCCTGCTAGCAGCTCGCTTGAGCTGTCATTCCCAATGTTTTACTTCTTTTTATAAAAAAAGCTGATTTTGTAGCAACTCCTACATTTGTAGCAAAGCCCCTACATCTCACACGGCACTACAAGATATATCAGGCCTGGGGTAAGTCTTACCCCACAGACATTCCCTAATACAACAGAAGCATGAAACAAGGACTGCATGAAGGCTCAGACCACAGTTATGCTGCATTTTCTTATTTACTTATTTAACTAAGAGGTAGCACTAAAAAAGCCCGCAAAACAGCAAGGAAAAGAAAATGGAAGAGGTCAAACAGGATAAAAAGAGTAAGGGAAAAAATGCAGAGATACTCAGAACCTGCCTCCCTCCAGTGAACAAAATGCACTCCCCATGACTAAGTCTTATTAAAGATAAGGTTTTGAGGTAGCTGGGCATCCACTCAGCAGGTGGCAGCCACAAAGATTAACATAAGCGCTGCAAACAGTACACTACAGCCAGTTCCATCTGGACATAAGTTATAAAGGAAAAATCCAAGGAACAGGACCAAGCCCAAAAGGAGCTGCAAGGCTGCCCTTGGTGCACAGAGTTTATTATCAGTGTTTCATTAACCAGGTTCTTAAAGAGCAGCCTGCCTGCCAGGCAGGGCTCACCTTCAGCTCTGCTACACACACTCAGGAAGGAAAGCACAGAGAAGCTGTCGGTGCAACAGAACATCCCTGAGCAATTCTAAGCTACAACGGCTCATCATCAAGGAAGGGAAAGCACACGGCCCTGCCGGCGCGGGGCAGCCCTGGGCGCGCACCTCACCCGCCACTCCCCGCACCCGGCGCGGGGCCGTCCCGGCGCGCGGCGCCCCGCTGTCCGCAGGTGCAGCGCTGGCGGGAGGCCGCCGCCCCTCGCTGCGACCCCGCCGGCGTTGAGCCCGATAGGATCTCGGCGGCCGGTAAGGCCAATCTTCATTAAGGAGCCATAAACGCCGCTGTGCCCGCGGTGACAATTTAGCCCATTCAAGCGTGCCCCGCGCCCGTGCATTTAGTAGCGCAGCCGCGGCCCGGGTCACGGCGTTAGCGATGTAATAGCGGCCAAATGAGCGGCCGGCTGCACGCCCCGGCGGACGCGCCCACCCCGCGGGCAGGCCGCACTCCGCGGGCGGGGGGACCTACCAGGTAATCCATGTACCGCCGAGGAGCTCCGCGGAGCCGCCCGCCCGCTGACAGCGCGCCCCTGTGCCGGGGAACGGCGCTTCCTGCCCGCCGGGAAGGAAGGGCGCGAGGGGGTTCGGCTAAAGCCGCCAGGTACGGAGCCGGGGGGGCTCTGCTGCCGGCGCCCCGAGAGCGGGGGGAGGCTGTGGGGGCGCCGGCGCTGCACGGCGGCGCTGTCACAGCCGCTGCTCCTGCGCGCGCGGAGGGCTCGGTAGGAGGGAAGGAAACGAGAGGGAGGGAGGGAGGGCGCACAGCGGCGGCGCAACCAACCCCAGCCCCGCGCCCGCAGCGCCCCGCCGCTCGGCAGCAGCGGCCGGAGCCCCCGCCCCGCGCGACGTCGCGATCAGCTGATCGCACACGTGGGGGCGCCGCAGGAAGCTCTTAAAGGCGTAGGCACGGGGCGGAGGCTTGGCGCTGCCGGGAGGGCGGGGGGGGGGCGTGCCGTGCCGTGCCGTGCCGTGCCGTGCCGTGCCGTGCCGTGCCAGGACAGGACCGTGCCAGGACCATGCCTTGCTGTTGCCGCCGTTAGGGGTGCGGGAGGTTTTTGCGGGACGGCCTGATTGCCGCAAGTGCAGGTGGCACCTCTTAGCGTTCTCTGTCATCTTGCTCCCCGGCTGAGAGTTGTCTGCTCGAGACTCCTGCGGCGCAGGAAGGCGTGCGGGCTCGGACGCCTCGTGTCGCTCTGACTTTACTTTCTCTTCAGAGGCGTAGGCGTAGGCGCGGAGCCAAACGCAGCAGAGGTGGCAGAGAAGGCAGCGCTCTGCGGGCTCGGCACGGCGCGACAGCCTCGTTCCGCTCAGCGCAGGAGCAGTTTTAATCGCTTCGAAATGGCAAACCCACGTGTCCATACCTCTTGTAGGTAAACACCCGAGCCCCGGATGTCAAACACAACCGCGCTCCAGAGAGCGCAAGGCCACGTGGGGAAGGAGCGCCTGCTGTACTCGCAGCCTTCGGCTGATGCTTGGAAGTGAGCTCTGAGTTCACTGAACGGCCGCTGTGTCCTGCTTGTTCCACAGAGAATGGCGGGGCAGATGGTGGCCTCCAGCCTGGCGCGCTAGCATTCCGATGTCAGGGCAGCGGGCACCGCGCTGCCTCACACCGCAGTGCTCCGCTGCACGTGCAGCACAGTGAGGTGCCAGCTCCTGGCTGCCCGCTGGAGTGGGGTATGGCTGCATCTTGTGGTCAGCTGAGACTTTGGAGCATACGACTGTAGTGATGTTAACAGCACAGCCAAGACCACCGGTCTCGATAAGGCACAGAGCTGTTAGCTATCTTTGAAAAGAACTGTGTGTGAGGCTGAAGGCTTAGTACTGAGTAGTACTAGTGAAAGCAAGATACCTCATCTTAGGGCCACCTGGAAACAGGACTGCAGGCCCCTGCAAACTTTAGCATTGAAGACTTGTACCCTTGTTTTCTTTGTGCTTCTAGTGTCAGGCAGCAGTGGAGCAGGTGCCATGCGAATCAGATGTCTTTCTTTGGCACTGCCACTCCTGATGCTGTAGTCTGCTCCCACCGGGAGGGGGGTGGTGCAGCGTGAAGGACCTTTCAACCTCTCTGAGCTAATGTGGTACTGAGTAAAGAGTAATCAAGCTTGCAAATAATTACTTATTCCCAATGAGAACAAACAGGAGTTTTGTTATTAACTTCCAGAAACAAGCTTTTCTAGCGGGGCCAAAACAGCTCAACTGCATTCAACAGAATCTGCCAGTATACATGCTTTTGATAAAAATTGATGTATGCAGGTAAGAAATTGACCATAAAGCATTATTTTCCCTACCACTTGCAGCAACTTTAATATCCTATAATGGAATCTGAACATCGGACCTGTAGGCTTTTCCACAACTCTTTAGCACCAGCAAGTAACATTTGTTTCTGCAGAGAAACAGACAGTGACTTCTGATATGACTGCGGAATGGGAAATTGAAAGACTATTGGATAAAATGATTTAGAAAATAAAAAGTGTAATAAAATGCACTGCAGAAGCAGATAGCAAGGAAAGGGGAATGAATGAATAAATGAGGATTCAAGAGCAATCAGGAATGCATGTTTATAAGGATATTAGTGAGTAGATGGCCTAGATTTAGTAACGAGTGGAGGAGGAGGTCAGCAATTTCTGCTCTGATTTCTTGTGATGTTGCAACATCACAAGAAAGGTTCAGTCACAACATTCAGTTAGCATCAATGTATTGATAAGGTGTTTCACCCTGTCCTGCTCAAAAGGCAGGGAGGCCTTGTTAATAAGTAATTCACTTTCTGATAGTGTTTGATGTGGAAAAAAAAAAAAGATTCTTTGCATTTCTTTAAGCTATCTGCTCATTTTAGCATTTTAATACCTGGAGAGTGGAAGAAGGGATACAGGTCTGGCCCTTACTGCTATTCACTGCTCTGAGTGTTTTCCTTATAGTCATGGCCACTACTGGGAACTTTCTGCTGATCACAAGATGACCTTTTGACAGTGGGAACTACAGGCTGAACAGAGGTAGCTGGAGGAGGCCCCTCAATAGCATTACAAAATCAAACTGTATCTATCCTTTGTCACTGCATTTTTTTGTTTGTTTGTTTTGTTTTGTTTTGTGTCAAATAAATTTTTTGTGTGTTTTCCCTTTAAAACCCTTTCTTCCTCAGTAATATGTCACTTCTGAGAACTGTCACTTTAGGACCCAACTATATATGACTAGAGGAGAACCTAAAGGAGAACAGAAGGAACAAGTAGAGACTTTCTGAAGTGCTGCTTATGCTAGTAGAGGAATGTGCAATGACTGGGAGTTCTTTCTTCTAGAGCTGTTTGAGAGGAAAATAGAATCTGTATTAAGGCAGTTGCCACAAAGAATGTAGTAGTGGGTAAAGAAAGTGTTTGGCTTATGTTGCAGCATGTGAAATTTAGGTCAGACACTGGAAAACACTTCAACAGTAGGGATGTTTGGGCACTGAGAGACATATCTACTAGAAATTGTAGAATTCTTGTGAGTGAGGCTTACATAAATATTTGAGTGTTTTAATAAGCACTGATTTTGATCTGGTGAGAGTGAAGTACAAGACCTTTTTGTCTTGTACAATTCTGATATCTCAAATTTGACTATGAAGATGCAATACATTTATACACAAAGAAAAATATTTACTTCCTAATGACTATTTTATATGTGCAGTTTTCCTTCTAGCTTACAAGCAACTGTACATGAGCTGAACAGAACATCAGCTTATAAAATCAGAAGCATTATCATGTATACACTGCAAATCCTGGAGATCTGATGAAAACAAGCCAAGCCTGAGCTTATGTTAGTCATTCTCTTTAGTGTAAACAAACAAGTGCTCTGGCCATTGTGCAGGTTTACAGCATGTTCATTTTATGACTTAAAGAGAAGAATAATATTAAACAATAGAACATAAGTGAAATTCTGTCTTTTTTTTTTTTTTTTTGCCTATGCAGTAATCATTGTTGCTGAGGTATTTCTAGTGAGTCCCGTAGGACATATTTCATCTAGGAAGATGTTGAGTTTTGTAACAGAGTCGTAGAATGGTTTGGGTTGGAAAGAACCTTTAAGATCACCTAGTTCTAACCCCCTGCTATAGGCAGGGACCTCCTACTGGACCAGGCTGCTCAAAACTCCATCCAGCCTGGCACTGAACAACTCCAGGGAGGGGGTGTTATATAATAAACTCAGTGTTAGCTATCTTCATGATGAGGCTTGTCAGAAAGAAATAACATGGCAGGGTAGAAGTTACCTTGATTTACCATGATTTATGGTTTTTTGTTGTTGTTGTTTTGGGTTTTTGTTGTTGTTTTTTTTTGTTTTCATGGTGCAAAAGATCATAGGGCAGATTGCAAGAACTAGTCGCCCCTCCCCCCCCCCCCCCCCCAAAAAAAAAAAAAAGAGTAATCTTCTTCACAGGAGTACAAGTGTATTTGGTTAAACCCTGTAACAGACTGTATTCCCAGAAAGGCTGCACAACATAAATAAATAAATAAATAGATCAAGGACTGTAATTAGGGTTTGTCCCTGTGAAGTGCTGAGCACAACATTTATTTGTCAGTGCAATTCAGTGAGTTTGAACTTCTTAACCTGGGATTGCCATGTGCCAAAATCAAGGAGTTATAGCACTAGCAATTGGCGAACTCTAAACACAGAAATGTCATAAAAGTGATTGGATCACTAATATGAGGGTGGCTCTGAAAGTAACGCCTCCTGTTTCATGGTGTTGGCCTACAACATCAGAAGCAGATGTTGGTGGTATGACAGTAAGGGCTAAACCTTCCCACCAGTACCCCAGCACATTTTGTTGCTGTGTGACAGATGGCAGTACAGGGGCAGCCTGATAGAATGGTGTCTGACATGGAAGTGCGTATGAAGCAAAGGTGTGTCACTGAATTCCTCCATGCTGAAAAGAAGTGTGTCCACTGACATTCATCAACACTTCCTGTACATCTGTGGAAAGCAAAGTGGATGTGAGCACAAAGAGGCAATGGGCAGTGTGTTTCAGCAGTGACAACAGCAGCTAAATAATGCCTGGCTTTCTGAGATGAACACGGCATTTGGACTTTTTGCAACATCAGTTTTCATGAGGATTGCAGTTCTGAATAAGGTGTGCAATATATTTTTCCAGTACAAATATTATCTACAGAGCATACAAATATTTATATCTTATGCTGGAACTGTTTTGCTGTTTTACTGGATAAATCAATTGAAATAATGCAGTGACACCATGATCTTTGCTCAAATATTATCTGTGGCTTTTGCCTTTGATTTTGACAACATGAAGAGAACTTAGTTATCTTCAAGGCCAGAACTAACATTGTGTTCCATATTTATCTCTAGCATCGCTTGAGAAAAAGTATTGCGAGTCTCAGACTAGCACATGGACTGGTTTGGAATCTAATTCTTAAGACCTTCCATCTTCCCATTTCATCTTAGCAAATTCATGTTTCTCAGACCTCCTCAAACCAAAGTCTTGTGAAGGTGTAAAAGACAATGCATCCTGATCTATATGATAGATCTGCAGGTCTGCCAGCCTGAAGGAGTGCAGTTCTTTAGCTAAAGCTGTGCAAGGACTTGGAACATAGATCTGACTGTTGCTAGTATCAGTCTTCTTCACTATAAAAGAGCAAGATTAAGGACATGTATGAATTGGTGAGAAGAAATATGAAGTGTTAAAGCAATTGACTGAACAAGCAGTTCAGAAGCAAAATGAATTGCATTTTGCTTATGACCCTGTATTTCAAACTTACATTCAACGTGTTGACCCACCTTGTATATTTTAGTTTTGCATCTTCCTTATGTTGCAGATACTGTATTAGGTGTCTGGCGTCGAGATTGGGATGTGACATCAGGAGTAGGCATTAACGAGGCGATGTCGGGGTGTGACGCGGCAGGACCTCCCCTGCTCTGTGATGGATGTATGACACATGCTTTACGGGCGTAGACGAAGCACATAGGGTATATAAGCTAGAGCTCACTGGTAATAAACGCCATTTTGCTGTTCACCATATTGGTGTGAATGTCCAGTGATCTGGCCCTGGCCCTATCATGGCCAGTATCATAGATCCTTAACACTGCATCCTTATGAATTGCATGTTTGAGAAAAACCAACGTGCCTATGAACTCATACAACTTAATTTTTTATGCAGTCAAAATATAGCATTTATTGAGGATGTGCTCAGCCAAGTTTATGTCTATCAATGGAAATGACCATTTCATCTCTCCTCAGAAATAATGAACATAGTATACAAAGTTGTGGATGTTTCTATATTTTAGCTTGCTCTCTGGGGAGACTTAAATGTAAGCAAGAGGTAATTTGTTGATATGTATCTCTATGGAAGAAATGAAGACTGAGCTAATGTATGTAACATATGTTAGAAGAGAAATTATGGCATAGTAATACTTATGTTAGAGTTTGAACTCCAGTTACCACTTCATACAAGAATAATGCTTTCATTTTGTAATTCATGTTAACTAATTGAAGCTTTGCAGGCATGTGAAAACAAGTCATGATTAAACCTGCAGTTTGCTGTGTAGTGTATCCTTAGAAGCTCTTGTGTTTCTTTAAAGCATATCCTGGGGTACTACTGATTAAACTGTTTAAATGCTTTGTAGTATTTCTACTATTAATTAAAGTATGCAATTGATACCTAAGCATGCCCATCAGCATACAGCTGAAACAGGATTGAAAAGCAATATCAGAGCATAAGAATCTGGAAACAAATCTTAGCTGTAGATTTGAGGCCCACAGGAAGTAACAAGCCTTGAATTCTATCAGTCCAGAAGGAGAATCCTGCACTGATCAGATTTGTTTACAAAAAGGATTATAACTCAAATACTTTTAGCAGACAAGGAAAGTGGAAAAGGTTATATCAACTGCATGACATTTGAGAGAATTTCCATTTAGCACAAAAGTACAAGGAAAGTAGTATAAGGAAATATGGGCCAACGTACTAATTTCTGAGGAGGGGGAAAAATGAAGAACAACCATAAACCAACCAAAAAAACATGTAGTGTGAAAAAATTAGATACTGTGAATTAAAATCAGCAAGATACTTAGAAAGTCTTGGAAATCGTTTAGCTCCAAATGATTTGTCTCAATTGCAACTGTTCCTAAGGTATGGTTTTATAGGTATAATTCTGTGCATCTGAAGTTTGAAGAAGGGACATGCCAAATGAATCCACGTGAATCAAGTTCGTGCTTCCCCACTAGTACAGTAGATGTAACTTTAAACTGAAATATTAAGAAAATAGCAGCATACTAGAAACATGTCACTTAGCAGGAAAGCAAATTTGTGTAACAGAGGGCATTTACTTTCAGCTTTACATGTATCTCTGTACTGGGACTTTTATGTAAACAGTTTGCTTTTTCAAATCATTTATCTGACTCCTTGGCTTCCAGCTCACATATACAAATACGGATGGCATCCATATTGTAGAAATAACTTGAATTGAAGGTAATAAAAATGTATTTGAAGTTCCAGGCCTTCTAGGTTTGGGAGCTTCCGCTTATGTATTTTTGTAACTACCTTTACCTTCACACCAACTACTCATGTACAGTTAGTGCCTTTGAAATGTAACTGGAGGTATTCAGTACTAGTTATATTGTTTTCCCCATAAAGCAGACTGGTTGACTATTGTCTACTCTACAGATGCTTTATTTCATATAAAGTGGTTTCAGCACTGGGCCCATTTATGTGAGAAAGTTAGGGTGGTTTGTGTTGAAACAAGCTTCCTTAGGTGTCTTTTCTAAGGTTATAATGTATAGTAAAGGTTGAATGCAGCAGACTTTTAAATACCTTACAGCCTTACAAAAGCTGATTCAACAGATGCTTAAGTATGCAGTTCAGTTACAAGTAGACCTTAGTTCAAGTGTTTACAGAAACAGAATATCAAGTAGGTGTTTCGCTTCATCTTCCTTTTGGAAATCAATGGCTTAAATTCCCACTGTATGTTTTGGATCACAGATTAAGAAATTATTCTGATAGCATGAGTGTAAGTGAAAAGAGATCCCTGGGGATGATTCCTGCAAGTATGAATGGGTGCTTCTTCTGAAATTATGTGCAGAAAGCTACTTATAAGTAATATTGGTATCCTCAGAATAGTCTCTGCAAATTATAGCAATAATAAGAACAT